AAATTAATAAATGTGAATTGTCATTCATGCATGCACATATTCAAACTTGGTGCATCAAGATGCATTGAACCAGGCTTGACAATAGTGGTATTTTCACTAGGTTTATTTTTTTTTTGGTGCTTTATATTTTTTGTAATATTTTTTTTGTGTTCCTCCAAAAGAAGGAATAAATGTAAATAAATAGTTTATTGATTGATTGATTGTTTGTAATATTTTTGGTTTTCATCCAAAAGAAGAAATAAATGTAAATAAATAGTTTAAATATTTAGAAAATATTTCTTTATTTATTTATTTGGTGCTCCTTCAAAAGAAGGAATACATGTAAATAAGTAGTTTGTTTATTGATTGATTGATTGATTGATTTATTGTAATATTTTTGGTGTTCCTCCAAAAGAAAAAATAAATATAAATAAATAGTTAAAATATTTATTTATTTATTGTTTGTTTGTTTATTTGGTGTTCCTCCAAAAGAAGGAATACATGTAAATAAGTAGTTTGTTTATTGATTTATTGTAATATTTTTGGTGTTCCTCCAAAAGAAAAAATAAATATAAATAAATAGTTAAAATATTTATTTATTTATTGTTTGTTTGTTTATTTGGTGTTCCTCCAAAAGAAGGAATACATGTAAATAAGTAGTTTGTTTATTGATTTATTGTAATATTTTTGGTGTTCCTCCAAAAGAAAAAATAAATATAAATAAATAGTTAAAATATTTATTTATTTATTGTTTGTTTGTTTATTTGGTTTTCCTCCAAAAGAAGGAATAAATGTAAATAAATTTATATACAAATATAATATTTTTATACTAAATTAATCCATTTAATTTGTATTATTTCTTTATTTAATGCTAAATAAACAAATTTAAATGCAATTAATTAAACATAAGTTTAAAACAACATAAGGGTGACATGATGATAATTTTTGGATGATCTATTATTTTAACATAGTCTTCTTTGTGTCTGTGAATGACAATCTGAAGGTTGTTGGTTCAATCCCAGCACAATCCCCTTAATCACAAGTTGCTCCAGAGCATTTGTCCCTGTACAGCGTTCCTCAAGTCACTTTGAACAAAAGCGTCCGCTAACCGACTGCTTGCTTACACGAGCATTGTTTCACTGTACGCTTCCTGTCATGGGCAATTTACAGCCCTCGTTGAGTTCCTGTCCCAGATTTGCTTGCCGTACATGCTGCGCTTCAAGAGGGATCAATACGGTCGTCAAGGAAACATTCCGGCGGCTCGTCGTATTGTTGTCATCTGGGTATTTGTGTCCCGGGAACCACCTCAGGACCACCCTACCTGAGAAAGGTGGCGATGTCTCATAAATCACATTAGTTCCAGTTCACCAGAAAGACAAGTGCAGTTTAATTGGACAAAAACTCGTTTCGCGAACGCAGGAAAGAGAGAAAAACGAAAGCGAAAAGGGGCAGGGAGGCCTTGAAGGTGCATGTACCGAGAGATATCCTTTTCTATCTCTTTAATTAAGACTGCTCCTGTTTCTTTTTTCTTTCCTTAGACATATGGGCATAATTAAGGGAAAACAAATCATTACTGTTGTGTGCATTGCTGGTGAATAATGGCATTGTCAGTATCGACTGCGCTTGCTTCATTTCCCAGACAGACAGGCGCGCTGGAGGTAAAAATGCGGCGATTTGCTGTCGCTGATGGAAAATAATGCCATCTTAGACATCGTGATGAATTAGATACCTGGGCTTTTGGCAAATATTTAGCCTCCCCCCTCTATGTGACTAGTTTTGAGGTGTTTGATGCAATCCGGGGCGGCTGTGCTTTTACAGGCTTGTTCTCTATCTCTCCTCCGTGTGTGTTTTTCATTAGAGTCTCTCTGGAGTGGCCTCAAAATTAAAACGCATTTAATTTAGCCAGCCTCGTTATGCATCATCAGCTTATACTGTACTTCTCGCCGCTGACATATAACAGTAATCAACAATAGGCGCGGTTAGGGCTGAAGTCGCTAAAATATGACTTGATTTTGAACGAGGTTGGTGTATTTTAATGCGCCGTGTCACGAATGGCGGCGCAAACATTGTTATAATAGATGATCGGGGTCGAGTTATGGTGAGGCTTTGTGTACATTAGAGTAGCCCTCCTTGTTCGCGGGCTAACACAAGCGCTGGCGACTTTTAACTCCACTTAACACGTCTAACGAACATGCCAGTTTTATGAATGCTTTAATATCTGGCAGCTTCCCTGCAGATGTACTTATGAGGAAAGCAGGCCAGCTCACTCCCACAGACGCTCGGCGGCAAAAACAAATGAAAGCGCATAGGAAGAGTGTCGGCGCAGCAGTCATTGTTACTGATATGCTTATACATTTCTGAGCTTGTCTCTTTTGCTTTTAGGAGATAATCAATAACCTTAATGTTCCTCTATAATTTTCAGATTCTGTTTTTTCCCCCATGACTACAGGGCCGTGGTATGACCATAACCTTATATAACTGTAAGAGTAGTTTTTGTAACATTTTACATTAGTATTGTATTCATTAACAGTATCAAATTCATTAGGTTTCACTAACTATCAATTAAAAACAATTTATTACAGAATTTATTAGTGTAATTTCATGCTTTTTTTTAATTACATTTTCAACAATGGTAATGTATTCTGAACAAACATGAATTAATGAACAAACTATTTATTTATTTTTTATATTTATATTATTTATTATATATTTATATTATTTTATATTTATATAATTGTAGTTTTATTTGTTATTTTAGGTTTTTCAAATTAATCATTATAAAATTCATATTTGTTTATTATTTTAAGATTAGATTTAATACTTATTATATTATTTTATATTTATATTGTTTATTGTGTATTTATATAATTTTATATTTATATAATTTTAGTTTTATTTATTGTTATTGTAAGATTTTAAAATTAATCATACAAATTATTTTATTTGTTTATTGTTATTTTAAGATTAGATTTAATACTTGTCATATTTCTACATTATACATTTATATATATATTATATTAATTTATATTTATCAGTTTATTTACTCATGTTTAATCATAATACATTAACACAATGTTAACAATGTATTAATAAATCAAATATAATTAATAAATAGAAATTAACATTAACCTGCGTTATTAAATTCTAAAAAAATATTGTTAGTTTGATGTCTGATGCATTAGCTAATGTTAATGAATTACACCTTGATGTAAAGCGTTATTGTCATTTTTTTTATTATTGTGGAAACTGAGTATAACATTATGTATGTTTACATCTACTGTGAATTCAATTAAAAATGGCTTAAATATTTTCAGATAATCTGGATAATTAAATCTGCCAAAAATGTGCATTTTTTCCCAATTTGTTTTAGTAATACATTTTTCCTTTTTTATTTGGAAACTAAATCAGATTAATTGTAAATTATTGGCAAGCCTCACATTATGACAGTCTAAGTTATACACTCAAAACAGTATATAAATACGGAGTGTCTATTTACACTAAGTGCAAATAGCCCACCTTGTTGGCAGAGGCTATTTACACTAACTCCGCCCACCAACGTCTGATTTGGATAGTCAACACTGAAAAAAGACAGTTGTCAAACATCAGTTTCAGTGGCGCAGATGGTAAGGCGCATGCTTTTTGACGCGATCGACCAGAGTTCGAACCCGCTTTTTGCCGAACTTTTTTTTTTCTCCCTTTTCAAATCGCATATCGCATCGGAAAGGCATTTATTTTCAATAAAAATAAATAGAAAATAAAGTATCGGGTAGGGTTAGGGTAGGTGTAGGGAGGGCTTTATTGTCCCAGTAAGGTGGCATCCATTCAATAATTTGAATTAAAATTATAATTTACACTCTTGCATTATTATTGCGTACTGTTTTATAATGTACTACAATACTGAGGTGCAGATAATTGCTACTATTTGCAATAAGTAGTATAAATAGCAGAAAATCTTGCTGTTTTAACAGTGTAAATAGAATCTATAGCTATTTGCACTTAGTGTAAATAGCATATCGTTAAAAGATACTGCTATTTGCACTTAGTGTAAATATTATCTATCGCTAAGAAAATATCCTATTTGCACTTCGTGTAAATAGCATCCATCGCTATTTGCACATAGTGTAAATATTATCTATCGCTAAGAAAATATGCTATTTGCACTTAGTGTAAATATTATCTATCGCTAAGAAAATATGCTATTTGCACTGTGTAAATATTATCTATCGCTAAGAAAATATGCTATTTGCACTGTGTAAATATTATCTATCGCTAAGAAAATATGCTATTTGCACTGTGTAAATATTATCTATCGCTAAGAAAATATGCTATTTGCACTTAGTGTAAATATTATCTATCGCTAAGAAAATATGCTATTTGCACTTAGTGTAAATATTATCTATCGCTAAGAAAATATGCTATTTGCACTTAGTGTAAATATTATCTATCGCTAAGAAAATATGCTATTTGCACTTAGTGCAAATAGCCGCTGCCATAAAAATATGGTTCTAACTGTAAAATTTGATTGGATAAGCCACATTTAAAGTGATATACACACACAATTAAATTAGATATTAATGCAGCAGTATTCAGGTTGCAACGTTTCTTGACAACTGCAAAGTTTTTCACCATTATTTGGGACAAGTCACATTACTCAATGTTTTTGTCATTATCATGTGTAAATAATGAAGAGCACCCTGACCTCTCACGCACCGATATAAATCTACACATTTCTGCCATTGCATGGTATGTGAATCTATTCTGTCCAACGTGTAGCTCCATATCGGCAGCATCAAAAGCATTTTGTACTGTTGATCCATTTGCGGGGACGGTGGATATCGGTGGATATTTGACATGCATTGGTCTGAGTGGACAGGGAAAAGGAAAAACATGCTCACTGAAGCTTGAATGAGACGGGCCGCTGCTCTCGGCGAACGCCTTATCAAGCCAGCACCAGGCTATTGTGCCAGGCCGGGATGTTTCTGTTTACTCATCCATTTGTTTGTTTGTTTGTTTGTTTCCAGGTGCTCCAGAAAGGAAGCCTGTGAGAAGTGGGCCGAGATGCTTCACTTCAGTATGGAGCTGAAACACTGTGTCGACATCACTGTCACTCCTGATAACATGTCCGTGACCTCTGCTTCCACACAGGTGATTGAGTTTATATGCTACTCCAGAAGTAGCTGCAACCATCTTCATAATGCATTTTTATTATGGACACTCACAACGGCGTCCTTTATTAGTATTGCTTTTACAGTATAATGAATGCTTTGATAAAAACGTACTGTATGAGAATGAATATCACAAGGTGGAAGTGATTTAAAGGGATGGCTCATCCAAAAATAAAAATTTTGTCATCATTTACTCACACTAAACCTGTAGAGCTTCAGCAAACGGGATGATTTTCAGTGAAGAATGGCTTAAATATATCGATCTGTCACACAGATCTAACATATGGAATCGGAAGACTTTTATTATGCGTTTATGGTGCTTTTTTGTCATTTTTGGACTTGACAGACGCATGGTTTTGATTTGATAATTATATGGAAAAGAGCGGCTCAGGGATTGATTATATTGAAATTTATGCATTTAACAAAAGCAATTTGTCAGAGAGCCAGCAGTATTCGTAATATACAATGTGAGATTTATTAGACAACTAGAGAAGAGAAGAAATGCAAAAGTAGAAGTGGTTTTTTTTATTATGCATGTGTAAGATTAATTCTAGATTTAGATTTATAGATAGATCATGTATTTATAGAATGTTGTTCAGTCTTCATCTTTTCTGTTTCTTGAAATAATAATACAGAATTTAATAATAATCTGTATTAGTAAATGCTATAAAACGGGATTATTGTTAGTTTATGATATTTAATGCATTAAACTTTGAATTGAAGTGTTGCTGTAATTTTATATTGTAGTATATCAATATGGTTATTTTTATGGTGAATTAAATTAAAATTACTAAAATATTTTCAGATAATCTGGATCATTTTTTTATTATTGTCTCTTTATTTGGAAACGAAATCAGATTATTTAAAACAAATTATAAATCACAAAGTAAGTTTCTCATTATATAACACCCGAGTTAAAAAATATTTATATTATAAATTTGTAGATTATTATTTATTTATAGAGTATTCTTCAATCTTCGTCTTTTGTGTTTCTTGCAAAAAAAAAATACAGCTTTAAAACGACATGCGAGTGAGTAAAAGATGACAGAATTTTAATTTTTTTTCCATTAATGCTTACAGAACTGTGCTAAAATGCTGTTTTCACACATTTGAATCAGGCGGCTCACGTGATGATCTAGCATGTCTGACAGGAGAACGTGTGTGTTTGTGTTTGTGCTCCAGCTGAGTGTGAAGGTAGCTAACGTCCCAAACCTCTCCGCTGGGGTGACGTGTGTGTTTGAGGAGCTAACGGAGAGTCCAGGAGAAGTGCTGGCCAACGGACAAATCCTCTGCATGTCCCCATCCCTGCGGGACGTCCCATCTGTCACCCAGGGATACGGTAAGAAACATGAAATGCCATTTAAAATGCTTGACATCAGCAGTGTGATGTGTTTTTGAGTGAAATTGGAAATAATATTAGACTTATTTTATTTTTTTCTATTTGAATATGATTGGATTGTAAAAAGCTGTGATATTATGAATTAATAAAACATTTTCTGCCCATGTTGTGTTATATATTTCAGCTAAATTAAACCCTTCTTCCACCATTCCATGGTTGAGCCATCGTCTATATACTAATACTCTTAATAAGGGTAAACACAACGTTTAATTTGACAATGAGGCTGAGGGACAGATGTGTAATTTATTCAATAGGTTGTTATAATGTCCTTGGCCATGTCTAATTTACACAACCCATGTTGTGTAGTCCACTAAAAAAATGCATTTTCAATGCAGCCCAAGTTCAACCCATTTTCATTCACGTTATATTGAATATGGCATCTACCCTGACAAGGTCTGAACAGCAAAGGATCTCAGACGGGATTTACTGACAGCACTAATGGCTTCTTTAATCATCATAATATCATATGTCTAATATTGTAAATTATTTAGCATGGGCTCCTCCTGCTGAGTCTTGGTTCCTCCCAATGTTTCATTCTCATTCCATCCTGGGGGATTTCCTTTCCAACATCACCTGTTTAGAATAAAATGGAATCTGAAAAGCAGGACAACTGTTTTCAATATTGATAATAATAAGAAATGTTTCTTGAGCAGCAAATTAGCATATTAGACTGATTTCTGAAGGATCATGTGACACTGATGACTGAAGTAATGATGCTGAAAATTCAGCTTGCCACAGCTTGAACATTCAAATAGAAAAGTTATTTTAAATTGTAGTAATATTTTACATTATTACTGTTTTGTTGTATTTTTGATCAAATACTGAGCATAATAAACTTTATTATAAGAGTTTTTTACAGTGTGCAGATTTCATTTTAATTTGTTTTTACATTTAATCGTCTCATGTTTATTTCATGTTTAATTTGGTATGAGCAAAATCAAATATTTCGTGCTGTTTTAAGGTCAAACCGTTTACCACAAGCCGTGTTTTACAGGGTTGTTTGTCCATTTGAAGTTTGTGGAAACATTTTCAATCTTTCATCAGTCAGACTGAATATGCATCACTCACGACCTCGTTTTCATTTGCGTCAAATGAAATGCATCTACTCTGACCAAGTCTATTAAGCTGCTCTGCAGAGCTGCTTCGAACAAATTGCGCTTTAGAAATCAAATTTAATTTGATTTAATTTATTCCTTCCGTGTTTCCCATTTTGTGACGGTCTTTTTTTAACATTTGTGATGACTGATAATTACGTGAATCTCTTCTGAGCCTCCTGAAGCTTTGAGACCTACTTCATTTCCCCCTTTTCTTTTCTTTTTTTTCTGGTTTTTAAGGTACTCTAAGAATTCAAAATCTCCTGATGGTAACTTTTAGACTCCGGAAGCCTGGTATTCCCATTAATAACAATTATTGCATGTCCAAATGGAAATATTATGTCAATTATAGTGAAGTGAGGCCCACAAGTATAATTTGATGGGCAGAGATGTAGTCATTATGGAACGCAAAAGGGTTGCTGAGTTTGAAACATAAGTGCATTTCGCTCACAGATGGAAGAAGTGGATAAATGGTCTCGCAATCAAATGTATTAGAAATGTGAACATTAGTGAGTATATGTGCAGAGCGGGACACAGATGCTGTGCTGTCTGCATTAGACCATCAGCGCCGGTTCAAACAGCCTTTCTCATGCTAACTTCATTTCTCCTGCATTTTCTTCGCCTTTCTCTTCATTGCTGTCTCTTTACGTTCTTTTCCAGGCGATAAACGGGTCGTGAAGCTCTCTCTGAAGTCCAAAGAGACGGGTCTCAAATTCATCACCACCAATTTCATCTTCTACAACTGCAGCGTCTTGCAATCGTAAGTGCGATCGTCAGAGATGTCATGTGAGGTGTGAAACTTCCAGCCGGGTTTGCTTGGATTCGCAGTCATTGAACTAGTTTCCTTCACAGTTTTCCTTTCCGCCATTATCCACGTTGTCAGCAATTGTACTATTTTTTTCCCCCCCACAATTGATTCAGCACTTTTCGTCCAGCTTCACAGCTTTGCTCCTAAAACATCCAGCGCAGCTGCTGGAATTTGTCACATTAAAGAAATTCTATTGAAGTTCTTAATAACACGCTAGAAAATGAAAGAGGAAACTGAAGTCCAGGGGTGAAGTCCACCTTAATTTCTATAGTGCTGTCTACAATACAGATTGTGTCAAAGCAGCTTCAGTGACAAACAGGAATTAATTATTAATATTAATAATACAATTAAAATTAATACAATTATTGTTCTTAGTTCATGTTTATTTCTACATACTTAATATTTAATATCAAATGTTAACATGAATGCATTTTGAACTAAAATAAAAATATTATAAAATATTACATGAAATAACATTTAAAATGATAAAACAATACATATAAATTAACATTGAAAATAATTAATAAATGCTATAAACATTATTGTTCATAAATCATAATACTAAATGCATCAATTAATCTTAAATCCTTTTTTTTAAGTTTTATAGTTCATTATGTAGTGATAAGCTACATTTAAAATAAATCTGTCTCTTTGTGGTCAGATCATGATGGCTGAAATTCAGTTGGCTTTGCTGATACAGACAAACACAGCACAGATGTGACGTGATACTCACTGAAAGCAGAAGAGCTGGAGCTGGATTAGACAGATGTTTGTAGATAAGGAAGTGTTTGTGTATGGGTTTGCTTAATCAAAACCACATGCATAATTTAATCTAGAGTGCTTATTAAAATGATTTAAAAAAAATCTCCCTTTATCAGAGCTTTGTCTGTTAATATCTGTATCTATTTGTTAATAAATCTTCCTTAATATTTCTGAATGTTACTTTTTTATATATAAAGAGGAGTTTCATCATATTAGTTTATAAGGTATCTGTCTGCAGTTGTTCTTGTATGTAAACATGCGCTAGTTGGATGTCTTGTGTTCGCTGCCTTTTTAGTGTCTATTTTTCAGCACTCCATTTTTTAAGATGCTGTCATGTTAAAAGGAATTCATAAAAAAAACACTTTTAAAAGTAGCTGTTTCTGGACACAAACATTTCTTATGTGCACAGTCTTTAAGGAAGAGATGAGATGCTTGTTGAAAAAAAGGAATCATAATGATAATATTAAGTGGACCCTTTTCACATTTTTTTTTGTTGCTGTGACACATTTGCAGTTATGAATATTATAAATCTAGCAAAATAAATAAATAATTGGTGTCTTTTTTTTATAAAACTATTCTTTGTGTTATATTACCTTGCTATTACATTTTAGAAAACTTGTCATAGCTGCTGCATTATTGTTTCTAATGCAACAGATATTTGTTTCATCTTTTGAGAAGTCATAGAAATGCTATTGTGGATATTTTCATTTGCTTTTGTTGTAGTTTCCATTCACCACTATAGAAGTTTACCCGAACTATGACGACTTCTGCCCGTAGCATCTGTCGGAAAAAAGTTGGCTTCTTCCATCAAGACGTCACCTGTTTGCTTATTATAGAATGTGCAGTGGACCGGCCTTTTTTCTTCATAGTTTTTTGTTGATGTGATATGTATTGTTGAAGTGTAACCTTGACAAACATGTTTTTCTCTACTCAGATAGCATGAGTACTTTTACAATTATTGCCTTTGTCGAGAAGTCGGGACATTACCAAGATGCCCGATTGTGTCAAAGCATTATTAAACAGATAAATAGTGTGTCGATAATGCAAGAGGACGATAGTAAACACTCAATTTTCCAGTTAAAGTCAGTTCATCATTGATTAGTGCTGTCAAACGATTAATCGCGATTAATCACATCCAAAATAAAAGTTTTTGTTTGCATAATATGTGTTCTGTGTATATTTATTATGTATATATAAACACACACACATACAGTGAATATAAATATAGACATGTAAATATTTTCAAAATATATATATACTTTATATTATAAATAAATAAATATATTTAATATATAAAAATAACATTTTTTTAAAATATATACATGCATGTGTGTGTATTTATATATACATAATAAATATACACAGAACACATATTATGCAAACAAAAACTTTTATTTTGGATGCGATTAATCGCGATTAATCATTTGTCAGCATTATCATTGATTCACCTAGTTCACCTAAAAATGACAGTTTTGTCATGATTTACTCACCCTCCACTTGTTAGAAACCTGTAAGGATTTCTATCTTCTGCTGAACACAAAAGAAGATATTTTGAAGAATTCTGGTAAACATTTGATGTAGACATTGACTTGTGTAGTTTTTTTTCCATACTATGGAAATCAATGGCTACCGTCAACTAATTAGTTATCAACATTCTTCAAAATATCTTCTTTTGCTGAAAGAAATTCATTCAGGTTTAGAACAACCTGAGGGTCAGTAAATTATGACAGTTTTTTATTTTTGGGCTGAATAATTTTAATGTAGTCAAAAGGAGTTTTCTTCTTTTTTTTTTAATCTAGTGCAAATATGCAATATTTGTTTTTTATTTTTGCAACATTTATGATTTTTTTATTCAAAAGGTGTTTTGCGTATGGAAAATTATTTTTAATTGGATGTCTGAGTTGTTCTGAGAACCTCATTTGAAAACAAAAACATCTGTAAATTTCTCAGAAACCAGCAAACATTCTGCTGCAATCGTAATTTCGCTTAGAAACACACAATAAGTTCCCACTGGCAGTAAAAAAAGAGCGAGTTGCAGCTCTGTCTGTGGTCAGTAAATGAGTGTAATTGCTTCAGAGGTGTTAGCGCTGGTGTGTAATTGCAGTGCGGTCCAGCTGTTGGCTGCTGAGACGATTTCTGTTTGAGGTTTGAGTTATTTTTGTGCTCCGTTCACACGGTCGTCTGCTTCTGCCTCAAGTCAGGTTATTTGTATAGCGCTTTATACAATACAGATTGTTGAAAAGCATGCAGCTTCATAGTAATAAAAATTAAAATCACAGTGCTGGGTTTTTCAAATGTGAAACCAATACAACTTCAGCTGTAACATTGCTCTAAAAAGACAATATTGTCAATGTTGATTCAGTTAAGTTCAGTCAATATTATGAATGGAACTCAGTTCAACTCTAAAGAAGCTCAGGTCAGTTCAACGTTGATTCGCAGTCATGCCCAAACTGGCCTGAGAGTGATCTGCACTCTATATATTTATGTTCATTTGCACTTCAGTCATCGTGAAGTCGATGCAGAGGGTGGAGACATGTCGGTGCGTCCCGGAAGACAGGAGCCCCCTCGTTTATTTCCATCCGCCGCTCCTCCTTTCATTCGAGCGCTTTACATCACTTAACCCAGTCAGCCAGCACTATCACGCATTGTTAGCGCCTCCTTTGTTTTTCCAAAACCATTTCGGCCGTTCCAGTTGTGATTTGCATGGAAACGGGAGGGAAATTCGAATTAGTTTATCAAAGGAAGGAAAGCAGAAAACAAAAGGAGGATAAAATATGACAACTGGAGGGAGCCGCCACGTGGTGACGACAATTTGCATCTTGGTGCTGCATATACACGTAGAAAATTAGATGCGCAAAGCTACACTCGGCAGTCCGCTCTCTGTATGTGTGAATGTGTGTGCAAGTACAAGCGCCTGTGCTGATCCATCAAGCCGGGCTCGGCAGTTGCCATGGCAACCCACATCCGAGCGAGGCCCGCTACCTTGCCAGCACGGCCTAAAGCCTGTGCCAGATTTCCTGCTTTCACAAAAGCCCTGTGGGAACGTTTAGCCCGCCGATTGTCTTCGCCTCTTGTGACGCCGGTGGACGGCACCCACTCGTTTTCGTCCTCCTGCCTCCATCTTTATTTCCCACAATTCTTCGGCCACCCAGACCCAAAGGTCCTTCCCCAGCCCCCTCTTAACCCCCTCTTTCCCTGCGGGATAATGACCACCTGTGATGTGAGAGAGGGGGCAGGGGAGGAAGCCGTAGTGCATTTCAGGATATTTAGTTATGAAATGGCTTATGTAAAGCCGAAGCTCTTTATTCTGTTTCATCTTCCCATGCAGCTGTTAGCAAGGGTGTCTTTCTGGTGCTAGTTAGTTTTGGATGTGAATGTGGGCATTCATTAAACATGTGAAACTCTTTTGTGTTTTATTGCTCAGCCTAGATATGCGTGGCCTCAAGTTACCAGGAAGCGCATATCAAAGGACGACTGTGTCCTCTTTCAACGTTTTTATGAATAGTTGGGTAGGTTTTCAAGGAGTAGTTGTAGAGCTTAACAATAAGGAACATTTGTTGATTTTATTTTTTTTAATGCCTTGCAAATTTTGTTTGATTTTCTGTTCTGTTTGGTTTTCTATTCTGCAGTGTTGTTGCGGTTTCTGCTGATAATGTTATCTGGCAATGTTTTGTTGAATTTGCAAAAATGATTTGTGATAGTCTTAGAAGCATCAGTCAGGACAAAATGTTGTTATACAATAAATCTATAGTTTTAATATGCAGTCATGAGCAAAACATAATATATGTAATAACAATTTTGATCAGATATTACAATATATATCGATAAATATAAATTATATAATTTATGTATGTAATAGATAGATGGAACGATAGAACGATATTGGTCTTGGAAGCATCAGTCAGAATGTGCTGAAAACTAGAAGATAATCAATAATGTTTTGCATGAATAAATATTTATATATATAAAATAAATATATAATTGTAATATGCAGTTATGAGCAAAACGGAATAATGTATGTAATAATCATTTTGATACACATATATATATATACAAATACATATATACATATATTATAGCAAAATAATAAAAACATTTAATAAAAGTAATTTTGCATATATATTGCGTATTTTGTATATATAATATATACATCATCCCATCTCAAATTTTGCTCAGAATTAAATATGCATTTGTGCAAAATGGAATTTCCAAAAAAAAACTGTGTTGTGTATGAGAATATCAATTATTTATATAACTGAAGGCTTGATTTTATCCATTATGAATTGATTGGATTGTGAAAAGAGGACGTTCTAGAGGTAGACCATTGTATTACTCTTTGAGAGAGAGAGAGAGAAAGAGAGAGAGAGTTTGTTGTGACCTTTTTTAATGATATGCACAGATGAATCGAGGCCAGAAACTTGTATTAAGAACTTAAATATGGTCAATTTTAAATTTCAGTTTGACTATAGTGCACAAACTCCAGATTTGCCTGCGCTGAAAGTCCAGCCCAGACTCCCAGTGATGGTAAAACACTCACTTCATCAGAGTGTCACCATTTGGCCGTGCTGTGTTTTTCAGCCCATGCTCAAATTAAAGCTGAGTGAATTGATGGGCCTTAAACCCCTGACACAGCATTTTGCATATTTCAGGCAAGACTTGCAGATCGGTTTGCAGTATTTACAACGCATTTCAGCAGCAGTGGAGCGCAGCGCCCTCCTCCATCAGCTCTAGTTTGCATCTTTACCTTCCAGCGCGCTAAAAAAACACACCCACGCCGAACCCCTGTCGGCAGTAATATTAGATTTAGCAAGTTCAAACGCACCCATACTGCAAAGAAAATGCATTAACTTGTTTTAAATGACCCATGATAATCCGTACGCTTTCAATTGTTCCGCCAGAGATGGTTGTGCAAGAAAGCGGTCGGTGTAATTTTGCCAGTGCCAATGTCTGGGATGTTTCAAATGGGAGCAGAGGATCTTTTCTTCCTCCCGAGAGCGAAACGAGATTATATTGAGCAATGCAGCTCCAGGTGTGGTGTGCTCGGACTGTCGAGTGCTCTCTGAAGGCGATCTGAACCGTGCCTCCAGAGGGTAGGATGTGATTAGGATGGCGTATTGCGTGGGCTTTCCATATGGGACCAGTGGCAGATGAGAGACAGCATGAGATAGAAAAAATCGCCCTACCGGAAGTGTCCACAAACCTTCTCACAGCATGCGCTTCATCTCTTGTGGCACGATTGGCCTTTCATTGGGTACTCGCATTCGAGTCCACAGGTGCCGCCTACTTATGTTTCTCGGCAGGACGTGACTGTTTAATTGGGAATGTCATTAGGGCCGCCGTCTACAAGACTTTTTCAGGGTCGGGTTAATGACTAATTGAGAAGCGGCGCGAACGAGTCGGGTGTTCAATGGCCCTCGAGGATTAATTGTGTGTGTTGAAGTGAAAGAGCGGATTTGTGACACATTGACCGCTCAGATTTCCAGAGCGGCGTCTTCATTCACGCCAAGAGAGTTTAAGTCTGACCCGGGGCTTGTTCAAGATGTTCCCAATGAAGTGATTTATAGGCGAAGTATTCGAAGAATTGAGGGAATTAATGACTTGAGCCAGAGGTTCAGTTGAGGACAGAGAGTTTAGGTCGCTGCTGAAGATACCAAACAAGTCGTAGTTCCAACTTCTTGTATTTCTGGGTGTAGATCTGGTTTGGTTGCTGGATTTTTATTTTTTGTGTGTGTCCCGTTTCCATTAACAGCAACTGCCAAATATGGCCCTGTTTTGTTAGTTTCCATGAAGAAAATCTGGTTTGCACTGAAAAGATGGTGGTTTTGAACCAGAAAGTGCTATTTTCAGATGCTGACAGGAAAGTCAATCTGGTTAAAGTGACACAAAACAAAACTAGATCATTTCTATTGTAATCAATTAAACTGTCTGGGGAAAAAAGCATAAAAATGCATGGATTATGGATTATCTATCTGTCTTGTCTGTCTGTCTGTCTGTCTGTCTAAATTTTATATTAAAATGTATAATTATTTTATTTTTGATATTTTATTTATTATTTATTTGCAATGAATATGATTTATAAATATATATAAAATATTATTTTACATCAAAGCCAGTTTGTGATTGCATAAAAACACTGAATTAAATTACTTTGTACTATGTAAAATATGCTTTCAAAACTTAAGACTACTTAAGTCTTAAGCTTAATGCTTTCAAAACTTAAGACTATTAAACAAAACCAGTTTTGGGGTGGATTTTGTGGTATAATAGTCAGTTACATTGTGGTTTAACTCTAAAGTCAGTAAAAACTTGGGCTGAGTTCACAGATGACTTGTTTTATGTGCTCAGAAGAACAGACCTCTCATGTAACTCTGTTTTGTTTTTCTCCTCTGCAGGTGTTCGTCGTGTGTTAGCAGCCCTTTCCCCTGCAACTGGTGTAAATATCGCCACATCTGCACTAATAACGTTGCCGAGTGCTCTTTCCAGGAAGGTCGAGTGAGCAGCGCAGAGGTAAGAAACCAAACCAGACCAGCTAACCAAACAAACCTCTGATAAATGACACTCATGAACTGATGGGCATTTTGAGTTATTTTGTAGTCTTAAGTATTCAAACGCATAATAAAAATCAAGTCATTTGTTTAATCAAATATGAAGATAATGCTAGAAATGTGTTTGCATAAACAGTCAGAATGTGCTGAAAACGACAAGCCAAAAAGTAATGTTTAACAAATAAATTTAAAAAAATGAATGTGCATTTATATGAAAATGAAAATGTGCATTATATATATGTAAAAACATTGCTTTTATTTATTATAGTAGAAAAATAAAAAATATGTACCGTAGATAATGCTTATATTTACTATAATAATGAATATAAAATGTTTTAAATATTAATAATATATATCCTAGATGAAAAACGGTGTAGTTAACTCGTACTGTAAATATAACAGTCTGTGCTTTTCTATTGGGAAGAATTAAATTGAGAAAAAATAATAATAATTTTTAAATTTTGATGTTTTAATGAAACATTTTATGAAAAATGTTTTTTTAATATCTTTTTCATATTTTTAATTATTAAATTAAAAATAATAATTAAAAAATGCAATGTAGAAATAACAAAAAAACTGTTCAACTTCTGTTTCTCGTAGCTCTTCACATTCTCTTCCCATCATAAATTTGAAAATCATTTTGTAAGTAATCTGAATTGTCTTTTTGCTAATCAACTAGTTGGTGCTAAACGAGCGCTTGACTGCCCGTCCCCAGTATAAACCGTTCCAGTCTCGAGGGTTTGATCTGCAGTGGTGCCACGTGGCATAATCTGATTCAGATGTATTATGAGTTCATTTGGGATTCAGTGTGGCTTAGATGACTCACTGCTTCACTTTCTCAAATGAAAGATAGATTCAGATGTTCAGAACGGCTCGTCTGTTCTCAGTTTCCTGCGCTGTGATTTGCCCTAGAGGGTTGGCATTCTTTTAAACAGAGTATGCAAGCTTTTGTGCCCTGCTCCCTGGAGGAACAGGAAGTGAGTACAACAGAAACTCTTATGTGTCCGCCTCAAATTCGCATACAAATTTAAAGCAATAGTTCTTCCAAAAATGAAAATTGTGTTCTTTACTCACCCTCATGATGTTGTTCCAAACCCATATGCTGGTGGTTTGTATGTGTCATAAGAATAAATAGAAACATACGGGTTTGAAACAACCATAAGGGTGTGTAAATAATGACAGATTTTCTTTTTTGGATCAGCTATTCCTTTGACATCCAGCAAGCCCCTCATGCCGTGGCAGACCCAACCTGGTCAGCGGCTTCTGGACCTGCTTCTGTGTTTCTCTCACAAGTGTCCATCTGTATGTGTCAATCACACAATCGCTTCTTTCACTCATAGTCTGTGAAACACTGGGAACTTTCTGGAAATTTGGAGCCAAGGCATTTTCCCTAGATGTGCGTTTACACTGGATGATAAGAGGAAGAATTGTTGCAAATGTCATTCTGACTGAAAATAGAATTTTCACAAGCTATTATTAAGGGAGGACATTTCTCGGAGCATTCATTAATGCTGTGCTATTCGTTTTTGAAGCTTTTAGAATTGTTTTATTTTATTTTATTTATTTATTTTTGATGAAATAGAAAAAATTATCTGATGGACATTGGACATTGAAGGCAGGACCAAAATACTATAAGCAACGTACACGCAGCAGCTGGAACTGTTTTTACTCCTCTTCTGAATCCTGTTAATGCAGTGACACCACATTAACTGGGTTTCCATCCACATATTTATTTTGCAGCTTTTGAGGTGTCACAGTATGAGAATACATTTTTCCAAAATGCAAATAACAATTTTTTTGTTTATATATAGAAATATTATTGACATTTTTAGGTACATTTTATTATGTAAATTATATTTATTTATATTGCAGTTATTGTAGGGCTGCCCCCTAATAGTCGACTAATCTTTAGTCGACCAGAAGACCAAAATTTGATTAGTCGCTTAGTCGCAGAAAAAAAAAATCCACATTGGCGAAGTCACGCAGATTGTTAACGGCTGGTCTATGGTAAATCCGGCAGGACATCCAAACACTCGCCTATCATTTATCCACCACAAATGTGTCTTATCATCTGAAATATGTAAGTAGTAGCAACTTTACATGGCCGCTCAATCTAATGTTAACGTTAAGTGTCTGTGCGGAAGCTGAACAGCAACGCGCTCCAGGGCTTGCAAATTTTCAAAATCCGTGGTAGCCCTTCGGGCAGGTACTCTTCTAATTTTGGTAGCCCGAAAATTAATTTAACTAGCCCAAATAAAAAAAGACCTTTTTTAAAAAAAAATAAATATATTGATTACTATAATATATGTAGAAACTATTACCTGCATCAGGGCTCGCAAAATTTCAAAATCCCTGGTAGCCCTTCGGGCAGGTACTCTTCAGATTTTGGTAGCCCGAAAATTAATTTAACTAGCCCAAATAAAAAAATACCTTTTTTTTTTTTGTTTTTTTTTTAATATAGAAAATCAGATAGGAGTTTAAATGTCGATCATAAATATTTTCAATACACAAATATCAACAAATATGAAGGAAGGAATTTTCTTTCACTATTTACAGAGTATCTGCTGAATTTTTAAAAATGAATGTATGACAATTTATGACCCATTTTAAGAGCTGCACAAAAAATGAACACAGTATGAGTGGGATTGGACAATGTCTGTGGTAACATATAGTACTGAGCCATAAAATTGCATGATTTACAGTTCAGATACAGGTTTTCACAAAAACAAAAAATCTTATACAACAGCATTTCAGCCTTTAGACCATTTTTATGAAAAGGGATAAATCAAGCATATAAATTAATTTAAAACGTATAAATATACTATTACTGTCTTAATTGTTTAGATTTTTAGAAGGCACATTAAGTTCTTTCTTATATACAACTCTGTGTTTGCTGCGTAAAAACATGAGTTGATATTTACATTGATCTGACCATAAACAGCAAGAAAGGCTTATTGTAAATGCAAATTCATTCTCTGCCACTAGGTGGTGCTTTAGGAGCACTAAAATATTGCGGTTTCCCCGGTAATGGCTGTAGCAGGTTTTGACCTGTTTTTATACAGTCTATGGTTTTGACTTGAAACGTACAGCGCTTATATTTATTCAATGACATCATTGCCTTTTGAAGTTTAATCCAGCCGCATCGCGATTCGCGACTCTTGTCTTTCCATCCCCAACTGTAAGACCTCTTGAAATTATAATTAAGACATTTATTATACCATTTAACGTATTTAAAACTTTTTATGGCCTTAAGTTTGATACAACTCACTTTAGGAGATTTTAAGGACCCGCGGGAGATCTGTATTTAAGATAGCCCGTCAGGCAGAGTGGTGATACATTTTGGTAGCCTGACTAGAAAACACAATAGCCCCTGGACGTCGGGCTAGCGATTTTGCAAGCCCTGCGCTCACTGCAGGACAGATGGAGGCGCCGGTGCGCTCACTTGCTCTTAAAATACTCCATCATTTCTGGTCATACAGATAAGAGTAATACATCTTTTAAATCTGCAAAGACTCTACGTTTATTTGTGTGCACTCACAATAACAACAAAACGTGCTTTTGTAAAATAATGAAAGCAAACAAGATGCGCTTTCTGCCGTCTCGGTCTCTGTGAACTTGAGCGCGAAACTCAGTGTATGTCTTTGCCTTACAGACATTAAAAGTATATCTATAGAGAGTGAAATGTCTACTTTCAAATGAACCAATTCAAATGGAAACCAAATATTCTCAGATTATGTAATCCGTGTGAAACATGCATACAGATGCATCCACTACTGTGGAGATGACGAGTCAGTGTCAGTGTCTCCGACTTCATCTCTTAAACCGAGAACAAAGAAAGCACTAGTTTATCAGTGAATTATTAAAATGTTAATGGAGCCTCCTTACTGTTTTTCCCTGACACATTCATAATCATAGCTTCTGCGGTGCGCTGTGGCAAGCTTTATGTGTGCGCTTGAGCGCTTATTAGGCTTTGTAGGCAATTAAAGGCTCATTATAATGATTTAAATGGTTTATTAATAAACGAGCGATTAGTCGACTAATGCTTAAAATGAACGACTACTAGTCGACCAGAAAAATCCTTAGTCGAGGGCATCCCTAGTTTATTGTAATAAATGTATTTATTAGTGATCCACATTTACCAATGAATAGGTTTTGCAGTATTTTTATTTGGTAAGAATATATTTGCATAATTTATTATGTTTTTATTTTATGTTATTTGTGTTTATTTTAGCAATTTATTTATTGGTTGAACATATTCACCAATAAACTGTTTTTGCAGTTGTTGTTTTATTTGGTAATAAAACATTTGCATAAATTATAAGGGAATTTTATTAGTTTATTTTATTAATTTGAACCTTTTTTTTTTTCTTTTTTTTTTTGCAATATTTAATCTGTAAGAAAACACTTGGATTATCTTTATTTTTGTTTTTTAAATTTCAAATTTAATTAGTTTATATTATTATAATGTTGTGTTTATTTTAACGCAATTAATTGGTGAAACGCATTCCTTCATTTTTTGTAAGATTCCAATTTTTCGTTTAAATGAGATTCTTAACTTGGATGGAAACCATCGCTAGTGACCACTAAAAATGAAAAATTCTTAAGATGTCTTGCTGTTGGTACTAACGGTTGGCATCCTTTTTTTTTTTTTTTTTTTTTTTTTTTTTGTTGTTCAAAGCCGCAAGACACTAAAATGTAGCTTTGGTTATCGCTATATCCGCCATCATGGTTTTACTCCTGAATGTATAAGCAACAATCTAGATCACTCTAGTAACCTTTTAGCAGAGTTGTGTCTTGTGCAAAACGAAACTCATTTTCTGCACAATTGTTAGAATCTAGTGCAGTCATTTTTATTTCTATTCTGCAAAGCCGATTTCAGTCAATCACAGCTTCATCCTGTTGATTTTGTAATTCTCCGTTTGGCGCTGCTGCGCTGTGATGGATGTATGAGTGTTTTCAGGG